GTCCTTTGATGCACAAGAGTTTTTAATTTTGATAAAGTCCATTTAATCTATTTTTTCTTTTGTTGCTCATGCTCTTGCTGTCATACGTGAGGACCTGTTGTCAAATCCAAGGTCATGAAGATTTACCTTGATTTTTTTTAATTAAATTTTTATAGTTTTAGCTTTCATGTTTAGGTTGTCAATCCATTATATTGTGTGAGGTCAGGGTTCAGCTTCATTCTTTTGCATATGGCTATCCACTTTTGTAAGCACCATTTGTTGAAGAGCTCATTTTTCAGTGAACAGCCTTAGCATCCTTGCTGAAAATCAAATTGGTCATAGATGTGTGAGTTTGTTTGGATTCTCAATTCTATTCCATGGGTCTATATGTCTAATCTACTGCTACTGCTACACTATTTTGGTTACTGTAGCATTGTACTCAGTTTTGAACTTGGGAATTGTGAGTTGTCCAAATTTATCCTTCTTTTGAGATATTGTTTTGGCTATTTAGCGTCCTTTGCAATTCAATGTAGGGGAATCTTGTGTGTGCAATTCCATGTGAACTTGAGGATTAGCTTTCATCACTGAGTGTGTTGGTTGTGGGCTTTTCATAAATGTCCTTGATCATGTTGAGGAAGTTGCTGTTTGTTCCTAATTTTCTGAGTGTTTTTATTATGAAAGGATATTGGATATTGTCAATTTTTTTTTCTGCATCAGTTGAGGTGATCTTTTTTGCCTTTGTCAGTTGATATGGTATATTACATTGATTGGTTTTCTTATGTTGAACCACTCACATTCCTGGGATAAATTCCACTGAATCATGGCATATAGTCCCTTAATTATGCTGTTAGATTTGGTTTGCTGATGTTTTGTTGAGGATTTTTGCATGTATATTCATAAGGGATATTGGTCTGTAGTTTTTTCTTTGTGTGGCTTTGTATCAGGGTAATGATACGGGCTTTCTTACGGTTCCCTGAACATGCCAGATGTGCTTCCACCCTGGGATCTTTTGCACAGACTATTCCCTTTGCTTGAAATGCTTTTCCCCTGGATATCTGCATCCCCTCTTTCAAGTCCACACAAATGTTACCTTCTCAAAGAAGCTTTCCCTGCCACCCAAATTAAAATTGTGAATTACTTCTCTCCTAAACCCTAGCACTCTTGATTCTCTGCTCTAATTTTTTCTTATAATAGCACTTAAGATCTTTTTTCATAATATATAATTTCCTTATTCATTATTATATTAAAATATTATAATAATATAGTACATTATATGATGATAATAAGTTTTATAATTTATAATTTACCTATTTATTATGTTTGTCTTTATTGTCTATACCCCTCTTCTCACATCCCAGGTACGGGTTTTTAGATGTGTCCAGAGTTCCTGGAAAATATTTAGGTCAATAAATCTGTTCAGTTGAATTGGATAAATTAACACAAATGTTAGAAGCACACCTGGCACCGTAGCCATTGTGAGGGCCGGTGGTGCCAAGAAAAATATCACCATGGGTTGTGAAAGCAATGCCAGGGACAGGATGTTTGAAAATCAAGTGTTTGTAATTTAGGATTAGTCTTGTGGGGTTTTTTTCCTTTATTTTTCTTTTTATTGTTATTTTTCCAATTTACATACAATAAGAGTCCCTTTCTTGGTATGTATAGAGTTCTGTGGGTTTTAATTCATGTGTAGAGTCATGTGACCACCACCATAATCAGGATACAGAACAAACAGTCCCATTTCCTTAAATTCCTGAATGTTGTCCCTTCTTAGTGAAACCTTGTTTCTACCCCCAACCTCTGGCAACCACTGATCTATTTCTATAGTTTTGTCTTTTACAGAACACTGTATAAATGCAAGTATACAGTGTGTTATCTTTTGAGGCTAGCTTTTCAAACTCAGCATAAGGCCTTTGAGATCAACCCAATTTGTTATATCAGTAGTTCATACATTTTTATTACTGAGTAGCATTCCTGGTCTATTGTGAAGTGCCTACACATTTTGGATGGTATGCATCCTTTAATCATTATGCAACATAACCTGTTTATTCCTGGTAATTTTCCTTGCCCAGAAGTCCACTTCCTCTAAGACTGACAGCACCACACCAGCTTTCTTTTGATTAGTGTTAGCATCATATATTTTTTGCCACCCTCTTATTTTAGCTTATCTATATCATTGTATTTCTTACAGATAGCGTATATAGTTTGGTCTTTTTCTCCATTCTGACAATAGCGTCTATTGTATGTAGATCATTTATACTTAATGTAATTTTTGATGTGTTTGGATTCAGGTCTACTATTTTATTATTTGTTCCCTCTTTTTTTATTCCTCTGTTTCTCTTTTCCTACCTTTTTGTGGATTACCTGACTATATTTTAGTTTTCCATTTGAGTTTATCTATTGAATGTCTCTGTTCGTCTAGTCTTTTTAGTGCTTGCTCTAAGGATTACAATATACTTACTTAACTTTTAAGAGTCCACTTAGAATTAATATTTTCCTACTTTAAATGGAATATATAAACCTTACCTCTCTGTGGGTCCTCTTATCCTTCTTTATTTTTGTTGTGGTTGTTGTATGTGTTATATCTCATGTGATTTTGCTTTCAGCCATTGTACAGATTTTAAGAACTTAAGAGAAAAAATACTCTATGATATTTATCCAAATATTTACTATTTCTGTTGCTCCTTTTTCATTCTTGAAATATCAAGTCTCCTTCTGTTATTATTTCCCTCTCATCTGAAGACCTTTTAGGACTGTTTTTAGAAAAAAATCTGATGGCAGGAAGTTCTCTCTGTTTTCCTTTATCTGGGAATATATTTATTCTGCCTTTATTTCTGAAGAATATTTTTGCTGCATAGGAAGTTCTGTGCCTTTCTTCTCAGTACTTTAGAAATGTTGTTCCTCTGCCTTCTGATTTCTCATGAGAAAATCCACAGTCATTTAAAATGTTGTTTCTATATGTGTAATATGTTGTTTTCCTTTGGCTGTTTTTAAGATTTTTTCATGGTCTTTAGGGTTTAACAGTTAATTATTATGTACCTGTGCATAGATTTCCTTGTCAATTTTGGTGTTTTGCTAAGCGTCTTGAATCTTTAAGGTTATGTTTTTCACCAAATTTGAAGAAATAATGTTAAAAATTTCTGAATATATATATTTTTTCTTTTTACGCCACACTCTTTCTCCTCTCCTGAAACTCCAGGGACAGAAATGCTGGATCCTTTGGTATTATGACACATGACCTTGAAGCTTCGTTATTTAAAAAAAAATTTTACTTCTTATTGTTCAGACTGGGCAGTTTCTATTGATCTATCTTCAAGTGGAACCCTTTCTCTCTCATCTCATTCTTTTGTTCTCATTCAGTGAGATTTTTAAATTTGTTACTGTATTTTTCACTTCTTAATATTCTTTTTGATTCTTTCTCATTGCTTCCATTTCTGTACCAAGGCTTCCTGGTTGTTTGCACACTTCAAAAGTATTCGCCTTTATATCTTGGAGTTTGGTCAATAATAGCTGCTTTCGTTCTCAGCCGGTAACTCCAGCATCTGCGTCATCTCAGATGTGACATCTGTTGATGATCTTTTTCCACGTGAGATACTGAGATTTCCCAGATTTGTTCTATGCTAAGTAATTTCATATTGTATCCTGGACATTTTGAATATTATACTCCAGCTCTTGCGTCTTCTGGAGAAAGTTGATTATTTTGTTTCAGGCAGGCGATCAGCCCAGTTAGGTTCAGGTCACAAGTTCTTACCCACCTAACTTGGACCGTATTTCCAGTGTCAGTTCAGTTTTCAAAGACTTCGCACAGCGAGTTGATCTACCCACAACCGCCTCAGGCAGGAGCCAGTCTGGGATAGTGGTTTACCCCTGAGCTTAGTTTTCAAAGCCTTTAGAATGTGGTTTTGGGTCAGATCTACACATACACAGGTCAGAATTGAGCCCAGAGGGTGATACACAACTTAGCGATCTCACTTTCTTAGACCTCTTGCTCTCCGTTGTCTCCCCAATACTTTCTGGCTCCCTAGGTCCCCTTCCTTTTCCTCTGTCTAGAAAGCTGGGGGTTTAGTTTTCTTGCTCTGCCATGCACTTCCTACCATAGCATCTGTCTCTGCGGCCAAGCAGGGAGAGGAAAAAGAGAGACCAAAGCACTGGGGATTTCACCTACTCTCCTGGGACCAGAGTTCCTCTAGTCAGAGAGAGAAACTGACCTCTCTTCCCTAAGAGTTTCAGGTGCCTGCCTGGCTGCTGCTGCTGCTGTGGAGTCTTCTGGAGGTGGGGGTGGAAGAGAGTAGAGAAACTCAACGCAGACAATGCCGGGGATCCTCCTCCGTGGTCTGTGACCTGTAGGAGCCTCCTTTCCTGCTCCTCACATCAGGGGCGGAGCCTTTTCTTGGAGCTCTGTCTGTCCTGTCCACACGTGGGGCACAGCTCTCGCTCCCTGTCCACCCGCACCAGGGGGAAGCTGGAGGGGGAGGCCCCGGGAAACTCGTTGCCAGCTGCGTGGTGCTTTGGGTTTGCTTTCCTTCTCTGCCACCATTTGCTCTTCGGAGCCCTCAGAGAGCTGCTCATGTGTTCTATCTGGGTTTTCAGTTTCATTCAGTGGCGAGGACAGAGTAGGGTCACCATCTTGAAGGGATCCAGAAGTCTTTGTGTGTGTGTGTGTGTGTGTGTGTGTGTGTGTTTAACATAAAATGAGAGCATCTCCATCTCCCACATATCTGGAGAGAAGGGAGAGGCCGAGGGAACTAACTTCCATTGGGCATTGACCCTGTGCCATGCAGTGTGCCTTGGCGCACGTGGCGTTATTCTGTGACTCTAGGTGGGAAGTATGGCACTGTTAGCTCTGTTGTACAGTTGGGGGAAGGTAGGCTCAGATTAATTAGTTCAAGGTCAGGTAGATAATAAGTGGTACACTGAGGATGTGTATCCTAGCTTGTCTTACAAAGAGCCGGCAAGTTCCGTGGAAAGCGGAAGAGACTGGAAGGCTCAAATCTGAAGTCCTGCTTCCCTTCCCCTCTCTGCAGGGTGGATGACGGCGACGCAGTGATCATGCACCCCGGGGTCCTGTGCATCATGGTCAGCCTGCTGCCGCGATTGTACCATGAAGATCACCCTCAGGTGACTATCGATGAACCCATGAGCTTGCCTTTTCCACATGATTTATCTTTTAAGCTTTTCTGCCCAGACTCCTTTTCCCATTTTGCCTTTGCCTCCAGTCCCCTGTATTAGCAGAGCCTCCCTCATGAGGCGCCTCCTGTCAGTGGGTCTGAGACCCTTGACTGAGTTCTGCCCACCCTTCCGTGGCCACTCAAAGCAGATCGCTTCTTTTGGTGAAGTGACCTTCTGAAGACAACAGTCAAACAAAAACCCAATGAAATGATTTCTCTTCGTGAGGCAGATCCCGAGTGCTACGTACAGTGCTGGGCATTGGTGGGTCCCCCCTTTATTCATCCATCCCTTGGATACTGGCTATGACCCTGGCTGGTGCTCTGTGTAGCATGTGCAGAGCTAACCTGATGAGCACTGTCCAAGGAGCCTGCATCTGTGGTGGGGACTGGGAGGTGGTGGTAGGGCAGACAGACTAAATAAATAAGCTCATAGATGAATATACAATCACAAATTGTGACAAGTGATATTAAGGGGGAAAAACAGGATGCTGAGAGAATAATGGGAATGGAAGTTGGGGGAGACCCAGTTAAATCTAATTTAGATAAAAGGGTGGAGGTCAGGGACGCCATCTCTTAGATGGTGACACTGAAGCAGAGCCCTGAGAGGTGAGTAGCAGTTAAGGGGGTGGGAAGGAGCCTCCTGCAGGCTGCTGAGGGGGAGGAGCAAAGGGGGAGAGTTGGAAGGGGGCAGGTGGAGGAGGGCTGGGGTCCTGCCAGGGTGCGGGCTTTTATCACAAGGGCAACACGAAGCCTCACTCAAGTAAGTGGAGGAGGACACGATCAGGTTTTTGTATGAAAATCTCTCGGGCTGTGTCGTGGAGGGTGGCCTAGGAATGGGGCTGTGTGGAAGGGAAAGGGGACAGCAGTTAGGAAGCCCCGTCCACAGTCCAGGTGACACACAGTGAGAGCTTGCTTAGCATAGCATCTTGAAGAGAAAGGAGTCAAGAGACCTATTCGTATATAGCGTCACAGGCCTGGAGATGAACGGGGTACAGGGAAGAGGGAGGAGACACGGGCAACTCTCAGTTCCCATTCCGGCAGCACTGTTGGCTCCACCGCAGCGAGGCACAAGCTTGTACGAGGAGTGGGAGCATCGAGTGGTAGAACGAGGTGGATTCTGAGCGAGTGCTCTCAGTTTGCAAATGTGTTCTTCAGAGGTTCTGAGAAAGAAGCTGGGAGAGTTGAGGAAGCCCTGGGAAATGTACACTTGAATCAGCAGCAGGTGAAAAGAAATTACTTGACCTGAGCATCTGCCATGTTCCAGGCATGGTGCCAGACCCTTTCACTGATTATTTGCCCCCATAGATGCTTGGTCAGGAGTATCATTGTTCCATTTTAGCCATTGGGAAAGAGAGTCTCAGACGATTGACACGCCTTTAAGGATTCTGAGTTGGTGGACCTGATATTAAATGTGGTCCTACCTGGTGGCAGATCTGGTCTTTCTCTTGCACAGCGCTGGCTTCTATAGTAGAATGGGGGTTCACGGGGGTGCGGGTCCAGCTTGTCTTTGTCCAGGAGTTAAGAAGGAGGTGATAAGTTTTAAGAAGAGATGATAACTACAGTTGAGCCTTGACCAACATGGGGGCAGATTGCAGGGTCACACATCTTGGCATTGCACAGTTTTCCAGGTGCAATCACCTGATTGTGAAGATGTCTGGCTTCCTTGGCTGTATTTTGTACCATGCAATGTACTTGCAATGAAAACAATCAAGCCAGTGGCTTGGACGGTCTTAGCAGCCACACGGTTGGCTGATGGACACGTTGTGCAAAACTCTACAGTGAGGATGACTGCTGAATGTCTGCTGGTGCATCAAGACTGTGGATGAGCCGCAGTTCATATCACCTCTGCGAGTTGTCACGTTAGTGTGTGGGGAAGAACTTTCCCTCATCCTGCAATGGTAATTGGATAGGTGAAGCACGCAGAGACTTCCACTTGGTGGGATACTGTTCCTCTATTCAGGTCACCGTACGTAACTTAGGAAAAGTCTATTTCTCGCACGCTGTCTCTCAAATACCAAATGAAATGTAGCAGGGCATTTTCTCAGGTATTTTCTGCAGACAGCAAATCAGCAGCTATTAAAAGTTGGATAATTACAGTAATTAATTTCTGAAAGGGGGAGTGGGAACGCTCATAACAACAAATAGAATAGTAAATCAAATGAGAAATGAGACCCACACACAAAAAAATGCTGAATCGAAACTGACTGCAGGACTGCAGATTTTGATGCAGAGAAAGAAGTCTCAGTAGGTGGCAGTGTTACTAAAAAGATGGGCTGTGAGTTCGCGCCCACCTGCCTTTGGGTGAGCTGGAAGCTTCCCAGCATCTCTGTACTCTTACCACTTTACATTCCTCAGACGCTCTTCCTACCTTATGGAAGAGAAACTCATGGCTTTCCAAGGTTCAGATATCATTCTAGAAACAATGACTTAGCTACATAAATGGGTTGTCAAGATTTATTTCTCATTGAGGCCCCATTAAATTTATTCTGTTCACAACCAAGAGGTTTTTTTTTTTTCCCCTCTCCAAAATGCTAACAATGTGAGCTGCTCTTGGAAACAGATAATCCAACTGATTTTTTTTTTTGCCTCTGTGTCATCGTCAGTGTTAAAATTGGACTGTAGGAATTTTGTTGTGAACATTGCCGTCCTAAGTGCAAGGCGAAAGTGGAGTTCAGCTTGGTTCTCTTGGAGCTGAGTTGGCCTGAGGAAGAAATTACTATTTGGAAAGAAAGACCTTTTCTCTTTCCAGCATGCTTAGCAGCCACGAGGGTCTTGCCATAGGGACGTGGCTCTGGGCTAGAACTCTGATCAGTACTGGAGGGCTTTCCTGTCCCAGACATCACTGCACATCCACCAGGGATGTGGTTTTTATTCAGGTCTTAGTGGAGGGTTATTTGCTTGTGTACGTAACAATGGGAACTCATGGGGTGGGAAACCAGGTCCAGTTTATTAGTCGTGGAACTCAGCGCATGTTGGAGCAATCAACGTGATACATTCACTTCCATGAATACTCAACAGCTACTAGGTGCCACTGAGGACTCAGAGGCGAATGTCACAGGAACACAGTCTGAGTTTGAGGATGGGTAGGCAGAAGAGTGGAGAAGATAGCTGAACAACATTTTAACTGTAACAAAAGTTTGCCACACAGAGGTGGGGACACTGGAGCTAGACTTTTACAGAAAAGACATGTCTGCATTGGATCAGGGGGTGGAGGGAGGGACGAGGCACTCAGACACAGAGAGAGGCTCACATGAAGATGCCCATTTGGGGACTTTGAATCTTTCAGCTGGGCTGAGGTGGACCATGTGGTAGAAAGGCAGTGAGTAGGGCAGGAAAGGTTGCTCTAAGTTCAGTTCTCTTAGGATGGTATTCACGGTACATAGTGAAGGGCCTTGAATTCCATCCTAAGAGAACTGAACTTTATAGAGTTGCCTCCATTGTCGTTGTCATCACCATCATCACCGTTACCACTATGTTTAGGGAGCACCCACTACATGAGGGCAGAGTTCAGGCTCTGAAGACAGCAGACTTTGGTCAGATCTCAGCTCTGCCCCTTAACAGTCATAGAACCTTGGGGAATTATCTAACCTTAGCCTCTGAGATCCTACCTGTCTTTGCTATACTATGGGGAGTATAATGTCATCTTCCCCGTGGCATTACTGTGAGGGTCCAGTGAAGCAAGGCAGGAGCGCTTAGCAGGGCGACCAGCACACGTGGCACTGGGAGACGACCTGCTGAATGGCACAGGTACTGCTGGTAGTGGCCGGAGCTCTCCAAGCATCCTACCGTTTAATCTTCATGATAACCCTGCCATGTCCACATGTCCCTTTGTAAAACTGGAGTCCTTTTTCTGATTCCTGTTCCTCTGCTGCAAAATGATGATAGAGTGATTGTCAAACCAATGAATAAGGATCCATCTAATAGTGAAATGGAATGCACTTTGTATTTTTCAGCAGTTTTGAAAAAGCCAGAGCCTGGGCTAAAATGGGTTTGATTGCTCCTTTAGTTTCTATCGCCTTGAAACAAAGCGCTGCCGAGCTGGCAGTAATGGTGCCCTACTTTCTCCTGGTTCTGTGGGTCAGGAGACTAGACAGGCACCGCAGGGACAGCTCGTCTCTGCTCCACGTGGTGTCAGCTGGGCTGGACCATCCAGGATGGTCCTCCACTCACAGAGCTGGCACCTCACAGGTGGCGAGCGGGCTCCAGGGCTGGCTTAACTGGGTCAGATGTCCGCGGCCTTTATTCGAGCTGTTGAGTCGTGATAACCCATTTAATCTTCATAAGGACAATATTCTCACTTTGCAGATGAGGATTTGAAACCTGTAGCAATTAAGTGACAGCGTTACCATCGTAGCTAAGTGGGATGTCCCTGATCTGAGGCTCCGGGACCCCGCCACTGTGCCAAGCTGCCTTCCTTGGGGCAAAGTGGGAGCCCTGGGTGGGAGGCAGTTGGAAAACAACAGTGTGATAGGACCTGGGCATCAGAGAGACTGTTGTCCATCGTCAGTCTGCAGTGCCCCTCGGAGTGGGGTGTGTTCCAGCTTCCACTGCCCCCGAAGCCTCCCGCACAGTCTAACGGGGCAGAAGGAAGACCCAGCTGCATCTGACTGTCAGCTCGTTTGTGCCTCCGTTTGGAAAGGGCGCCGTTTTCTGGAATTAGCCTATATTTCAAACACATTGAACTAATCATATGGGGTTTCAAATAACTAAAATATTGACAGCAGTAATGGCCTGGGTAGCACTGTGGAAGGGCAGGCTATTTGAAAAGAGCCATTTCCTCCAACAAGGAAATGGATGAAGGAGGAGTCTTGCTTTGTTAAATTGTAACACATTAGAAGTTTCAAATACATTGAATTTCTGTTTTTATGCTCTTTCGTTCTGAACCCCATCCCCTAAGTATTTCTATTGTTCCCAAGTGGACAAATCTCAGATCCTGATCAAAATCCAGAT